GAAAGTTAATACATTAAAATTCAATTGATAAAAATTAGTGAGTATTTTAATTTTTTGTATTTTTTATGGACATATGTAAAATGTAGGCTTATATAAAATATATAGATTTTATATTAACAGAAATAATAACACATTGTTATATTATTTGGCAACTTGCATCTTCTGCATATCAGTGCTGCCAAATATGACTTTGAACTGTCCTAAACAGATTATAACTTTCTATTCATATCCTTATTAGCTAAAGGTAAAAGTTTAAGTTAGACAGAGTCAATTCTAGTGGTCTATCACAAACCATGATCACAATTATAATACTGCTGTGTACTTCAAAATTGCTAAGAGAAAATTGCAAATGTCCTCACTACAAGCAGGGATAAACATGTGAGGTAATGGATGTGCCAATTCTTTTGACTTAAGCATCCCATATTTATAATATATATATATATATATATATATATATACACATATATATATATATACACACACACACACACACACACACACGCACACACATCATGGCTTCATAATGTACTCCAGATATACATACACGTAATTAAAAAAATTTAAAAAGAAATCTCAACATAAATTGTGTTAGCCAGCTTTTGGTCATCATGACTAAATCCCTGGAGAAAATAGCTTAAAGGAGGAAAGTTCATTTCAGCTCTTGGTTAGCTCAGGTCAGATGGCTCCCTTGTTTTGGGCTTGTGCTGAGGCAGCACATCCAAGCTGGAAAAACACCTTGGAGCAACCCTGCTCATCTCAGGATTGCTGGAAGCAAAAGGTACGACAGAGAAAAAGAAAAAGACAGTGAACAAGCTACGCCCTTCCAGTGTTCCAGTAGCCCATGTTCTAGTTTCTACCACTCCCCAATAAGGCCAACAAATTATTACTCCATCAGTTGATTAACCTACTTGCAAGGTTAGGGCCCTCATGAGCCAAAAATTCAGGCCTTTGATGCATACACCTGTAGAGACATTTTAGCCTGACATCAGGTGAAAGGATGGCACCTTAACGTGATCAAGAAGCATTTTCCTATTGTCAAGGGCTTTAATAAGGAAAAGTTATTTAAAACGTAATTTTAATGTTGTAATTATAGGGAAACTGCTGAGAATTTAACATGTTTTTAGTTGAAACAATCACCAGTTATACACTGCCTGTTTCCACATTTGTTTTCTCATGTTCATATTCCACCTGCACATGTATCACCTCCATGAATTTGGCATCGTTTTAACAGAACTGCATGTCTTAATATTGCCTACTACATTGTGAGTATTTTCTCTCCCCTTGAGGTCTCTGAACACATGATTTCTAATGGCCACATAATCATCCACTCTATAACTGCAGTATTCACCCAGATTATTAGAGTCCTCTGTTGCAGACAATGTGTCTTTCTGTGTTTCACTTGATAGTGACAGTGTCACTAAGAAATATGTACTGAATACTGCCTCATCCCTTACCCTCTGTCCCTGCCCTGTATTTGTTCTTTATCTGCACTGGGGATGCTTCTTAATGAGGGCTCTGCATACCAATCTCTGTCTCTGTGTAAGCTCCTTAGGAGCCCAGTCTCTAACAGTGGTAACATGGCAGTGCTAACAATATTACACATGCATGCCCCATCAGCCAGCCATTCCAATTCCACGGACATAGTGAGATCATAAAGATGTATCTATCATGATATTCATTGCAGCCCCTCTATGGGAGTAAAAATACTGGAGAAATAAAAACTCATATTGGAAATTCAAGTCTATCATTAAGGAACTTAAGAATAGATTACATGGTAACTATGCATGGAAACACAAAAGATCATTCAGGGTATCTTGGTATTCTGTTTTTTGGCCGTGCCCAACTTGATAATCCAGCGTACTATTGAGTGGAAAGAGTAAGTGGAGAAAAATGGATAGTGTGCTCCACTGCTTCTCAAAGAAGTAGAAAAATACTGATATATATGTAAATGTCTGCTCATGTATATAAAGAAATGATGCAGCATTAATTGACTTAAGCGGGGGAGGGGAGGAGGGAATTGCATGTGGGGATAGAATATAGGTTTAAACTTTTATTTTTGCACTATAGAACTATTTGGCATAACTCTAAAGAGTTAAACAGGAAATCAAATCAACAAGTGACCAGACATTTCCAGGTACTCAGTGATATAAGCACAGAAAAGGAAACTATTTTAAAGGGCATCAAAGTTCAGTGACCTAAGTTAATCTATCCCTAGGAAAATATGCTGCAGGGATGAAAGGCACAGGAAATAATCATTGCTATGATTTATTGCTACTAAATATATGTTGCTAATTGCCTACCTCCCCCCCCCCAACCAATTGCACCCCGTCCCACTTTTCTTTCTTCTTTTTCCACACTGAAAGCAGTTTAAGGAACTTCCCGCACACTATTCTCTGTACAGTCAACTTCTTGGGAAACCCTTCCTGCAAAGGGGAATTCTCTATTTCTCTATACCTGTTCTTAGGAAACCATCAAAGCAAACTTGGCAATCTAGCAAATACTCCTTGGAATTCCCATCAGTCAGCAATCCCACAATTATTTTGCTGTTGCTAGTTTTATCATTTGGATTTTGCAACTGTTGGGTGTATATTATGGTAAAGCAAGTAGTTTATTATGTTGGTGTCTTACAAAATGGGAAAAAATAAAAACGGATCTCTAAAGAGATTATGGAAACTAAATAAAATCCCTGTTGTTCTGAATTCAAATAAGAAGCACCAGTGTGAACGCTGATGTAATTGTTGCTCCAAAAACAGAAAGATCTTTCTTAGTTTTGATCACTTGGAAGGTCTATAGACAATGGCTTAGTACAAATAAGTATGTCCCACAAAAGGAACAGAATCCCATAAAGAATCACAGACACCAGCTCTGAGATAAGAAATGCACATGAATGACCTGAAACCTCACACACCAAACTATAAGGAAGCCTGGCAATAGTTGTAGAAAGGATTGGTGACATCACTGTGGTTGTGTTCACAAGAGTTTATGTCTGTGGAGCAATACAGCAGTGCAAATAGTGGGTATCAATATGTGCTATTTGCTCCAAATTAATCTGAAGTGAAACTGTAGATTATAGGAAAACTCTCTACCCTGAAACCGGAGCTATAAAACAGGCTTACAGAAACCTGCTGTCCATGGAATTTGAGAGCCTGGAGCTAGTTAGTGGCAAAGCAGGTGATCTGGTTTATTGCTTATGTGCCTATATCTGCTAAGGGCCTGCTGAAGCCAGACCCTCCCAACTCTCCAGTATAGAAGGTGATTCTCAGACTCTGCTTATCATGTTTTCCTGGACCTTCCAGTACTGAGTAGCAGGGCTTGGGGGAGTCAGCTCCTCAGAGCAATCAAGTCTGCTCTTACCATTTTGAGGTCGAACTGCATGTATTCTTCCATTTTCCTCTGCTGACCAATTTCTTGCTGTAGATGGTAAGACTGACCAAAAGCTGACCATTCTCAGGGGTGGGCCACAACTGCCCAAAGGAATAGTTTACTGCCTCTCCTCTAGTTCTGTGAATACTTAAGTTTCATAGAAAATGAAACTTTAAAAAAAGAAAGCCAGGAAGCTTCAGGTTTAGTAGCAGAGATGGAAAATGTAGGTGGAGATGAGGAAAAACAAGTTTTCTTTGTTGAGAGAGGGAATTCTTTGAGGCCACTGAGAGAACTAGGCACTGAGACTTAATGTCAGGAGCCATTTAAGGTGTCAGACCAATGCTTGGGGCTCATGTTTTCTGCTGAAAGAACGAGTGTGACTTGGAAGCAGGCACAAGCAATTTAGGGATAAAAAGTCATAGTTGGTCTCCAGTAAAACCCTATGTACAAACACAGGGGCTGGCCCGCAGGTCCGAGCTTTAAATGGGCTACAGAATCAAAGCTTAGGCCAAATCAGATTCATTTTGGTGTGGGTGTACCAGGTTAGCCCCTCACCCCCACCCTCTCTGCAGGGAAGGAATCTCAGGCACCTTCCTGGGGTTGAGGGCCCTGGGCACTGCTTCCGCTTAGTCACCACTGACATTCCCTTTCTCCCTTGGGGCAGGATTTTGATTTTTTTCAGAGAAGTCCATTTAAAAATACCCTCTGCCACCTGATTAAGTTTTCATCACTAGAATATAACTAGAGATCCATGCAATTTCCAGGACTGCAATGAAATAGGTTCTTTTCTAAAACAGATAAACCCGTGTAGTATGTATGCTCCAGGAAGCATGCCCGGGTGCCAGTATCGAGCCTGGAGCCATGCTGCCGTTCATGTTGTAACAAAAGGCAAAAACAGCAATGGAAATGGGGACAGCGAGGGAAGCATGGAGCTGGGACATCTTGGAGAAACTGCCATAATCCTGGACACCATTTTCTTCAGTCTGTCCTGCTATTTGGACAGAGGTCCAGTCCTGTGTTCTTTCTAATAGTCTCTCACCTGAACTGTGCGTTCTGTATGTTAAATTTCTTCTGCTTGAAATACCATAGAATTCCAAACAAGCTTGATTGATGCCTTCCCTGAAGAGCTAACCAGCCTTTTGTCTCCCACTAATTGTTTATCTCAGGTCACGCCTTTTTCCCTGGGGCTCCTATCAATATCTGGTAGAATTCTTATCTATTGCTTTGACCTGCTGATCTTTCCACTGATAGGCATAGTAGCTCACAGCCTGTTCTGACTTCTGCTACATTCCCATCTGCAGTGGGCTGGGCCCAACTGCAGAAGTCCATATAGATACATCAGTGTTTTAGGACACTGACGAGCAATCTACGTTTCAGGCACTCCCTGTGTAGAAACAATGGCAAATAGGGCGAGCTTTTCTCTGAAGTGTGATTGCTTTCCCAGAGCAGGGAGTGGCCAGATGGACTGGCTTTTCTTGTGCCTTGAGGCATTTTCATGACCATGTTTTTGATTTGCAGCAGTTAGAATAATGAGTAAAAATAATCGCTAGCATTTAAATGGACACTCACTGAAGAGGGGACACCAGCGTTATCTACAAAGAGTTAGAATCTACAAGGGGTTGTAATGGCACACTCACCTGAGGTGGAGTGGGATCTTGGGTACCTTCTTAGAGACCTTGAATCTGTCTCTATCTCCATAGACATCTGTGAAGTACACGCCAGCCACACTTGTCACCTGGTTCCCGGGGAAACTGGACAGCACTTTGTCATGGCCATGTTGACTGGCCCAATACCAGGCCTGGCCCCCGATGAGCAAGCCCCCACCGCGCTTCACAAACTGGACCAGCTTCTCAGTCAAACTGTCATTGTAGGCATCAGTGCAGTAAACACCCAGAGCCTCTCCAGGCTCAGACTGAACCAGTGCTTCTAGACCAGAGTCACCTAGGATGTTTACCAGTGATGCCAAGGAGGAATGCACTGTGATGGGAGCCCCTGGCGAGGGGCAGAGCCAGTTCACTGCATTGACAAGAAATGGGGCCAAGCCAGCATGCAGCAGGTAGCCCTCATGGGATACGACAACCAGGCGGCCTCGGCCATAGGAAGAGGCAGCAATGAGCACCTGGCCCTTGTCATTCACCATCACTGGGAAGGCAGCCTCCCCAATAAGGAGGAGTTCACTAGGAATGGATTCTTTGGGAAGATCCCAGCTGGTCACTCCATTCATGAGGGTCTCAAAAGCAGCATCAGGATTTGTTGCCATGATTCTTGCAGATGCTGCAGGGGAAGCAGAGACTCGGGTAGGTCAAAATGGATTGAGGAACCTGTTTTAAAAAAAAAAAGCAAGCACGTTATTACAATCCCAATTTCATGACTCAAATACACAAGAAGAGTAAGGATGATAAATAAGGTGGGATAATAAATAAATAGGCATCAATTTCCAGATGCTATGTGGTGATGAGATACAGACCTGCCAACTGGAAGGCTGCTTTAGACTGACTGACAGGAAAGACCTGGTAAGAATGTAGCCTTGAAGCTGAAAACTGAAATGCTGTGGGAATGGGAAGAACATTTTGGTAAGAGGCACACCAGGGCAGCCATAGAGTCAAGGGCAAAGGCCTAACAGGACCTGAGGTAGGTTGGAGGTTCACATTCCTGACTGGCCTGGTGGATCAAATGCAGGAGCTGACCTAGTGTTTCTTATATTTGGTCAGACAAAAGGGTCACATGACTTGTCAGGCTGTTGCCAATGGCTTCCAGATGATCAAATCTGCCCACTCTCTGGCCAGTGATCTTTACAAACCTGCTGATGGCTGTCTGCTAGCAGCTGAGCTTCTCCAGTACTCCCTGCGAGTTTCTCCCTTGTTTTACAAATTAGACTACAGAGTACTGGCACAGTGAGCCCACCTTGAGCGACTCTCTCTTCTTCCCCTTCTCATCTCCATGAGTGCTGCTGTGGATCGTAGCTGGTGCCCCACACAACTTCTCTATCCCCACATCTGAATAGCTCCCCATGAGGGACCTCCTTTCCACTCACATGACTGGCAGGGCAGTCCTTCAATGGCTGTGAGCTGGTATCCTAAGGCTGTAATATCCTAAGTTAGCTTCAGGTATACTGGAGGGAACCATGGACACCTGCCCAGTGCCTTAAGGAGGAGCGTTCTGAGAGGGTCCCTCGGCAGGCTCAGTTCTAGAGGGCCAATGCTCACCTTGTTCAGTTCCCTCCTTCCTAGTCCCCCTCCCCAGGTTATTCTCTTGGATTTTCAGGGTTTTCTTCCCCAAAAAGCCTCCAAGGAGAGGGAAGAACCTGAACAGATCAGACTCAAGAGCCCCTCTTGTCTCCTTTGTTCCTCCCGTTCTCATGAATTGTCAAGAGCTTAAGTTGTCCGTCTCCACTCATTATCACAAGCAGGCTGACTAACCCTGTCTGAGCCTGTAGTATGCATTCCACTTTCATTCAGCACGCTTGCCTAAGAACTCCAGAGCCCTCGGTTCAGCCACTCCCTGTGCGTTGAAAGTCTGTTATGTTAGCCTTGGCATGTCTGTATGTGTTTCTTCGCCACCGCCACTCCCACTTTCCATCCCGTTTCACTGCGGTGCAATTTTCAGGAAAGTGAACAGTGGGAAATTCAGATGGATCAGGAACTCCAAGTTCAATGTTAAGTCATGTTAAGTTTGTTTGAGAAGAAAGTTCTCTCACAAAAACCACTTGGGCAATCTGTTCAGAAACGACAGGCCCACCCACCACTTTGTAACTAAATGCGCTTGCACGCGCGAACACACACCGCTCCAGTGTAAAGAGCAGAGATGAATCAGTTCTGGGTTAAGTAGAAAATTGTACCAGATACATGAAATTAAAAGAGAAACAGACCTTTGGAAGATACACTGTCGGGAATGGCGTCCGGTAGCCTTCTGACACTTTAGGGGTTCCCTCCCAGAGTCGCCCAGGTGCTCAAACATCCAGCCCCACTCTAGAACACGCAAGGACTAAAATACTCACGCGAGGAGGCCGCTGTGCCTGCAGACTGTAGCAGCAGACTGGAGGAGCGCAGTCCGGGTGAAGGCCGGCACAGGGGCGGGACCTCCCGGGGACCGGCCGCGGAGGGCTGGGCTGTCACCGAAGCAGGGTAGGTTCTCTGGAGAAGAGTAGTCGAGCTGGGTTCCCTGGGCGGAGCCGTCTTGTATCTCCTGGGCGGAGCTTCTCGGGGGCGGATTTTTTTCCCGGAGCCTTGCTACCAGGGGACAAGGCCGGTTAAGGGTGTTCTGTCCTGCGGGGTGGGCTATCCAGGGAACTGGGCTGGGTAAGGATGAGCTGTTCTGTGGGGTGGGCTATCCAGGGAACTGGGCTGGGTAAGGATGGGCTGTCCTGCGGGGTGGGCTATCCAGGGAACTGGGCTGGGTAAGGATGGGCTGTCCTGTGGGGTGGGCTATCCAGGGAACTGGGCTGGGTAAGGGTGTTCTGTCCTGCGGGGTGGGCTATCCAGGGAACTGGGCTTGGTAAGGATGGTCTGTCCTGCGGGGTGGGCTATCCAGGGAACTGGGCTGGGTAAGGATGGGCTGTCCTGTGGGGTGGGCTATCCAGGGAACTGGGCTTGGTAAGGATGGGCTGTCCTGCGGGGTGGGCTATCCAGGGAACTGGGCTTGGTAAGGATGGTCTGTCCTGCGGGGTGGGCTATCCAGGGAACTGGGCTGGGTAAGGGTGTTCTGTCCTGCGGGGTGGGCTATCCAGGGAACTGGGCTGGGTAAGGGTGTTCTGTCCTGCGGGGTGGGCTATCCAGGGAACTGGGCTGGTTAGGGGTGGGGCTGTTCCGGAGGCAAGGCCCTCGGGAAGCTGAGCTGTTCCTGTAACCGGGAGGGGTGACTGCCCTCGGAGCGCTTCCTGAGGCGAACCTCTTCCTGAGAAGGCTGACGCAACCTACCTAGAGAGAGGACTCTCTGCAAAGCTCTTGATGGACCAAGGGAGAAAAATCAAACTCCAAATCTCCAATTAATCAGATTTCGGGGCGAACATCACCCAACAACTGCGCCAGAGCCGGAATCTGGCTCCAACCGACACGGTGCCGAGTCAGAGCTTCACTGTGTTGTTAACCGGCTCCCTGGCTCGGGCGTCAGGGCCTGCCCCCTGGTGGTTGACACTGGCCGTGCATCTGTAAGGATCTGAGGGGAGCACATACTAGACATTTTGGCCTGAGTATGCATAGAAATCTATTCCAGAGACATTGCTACTGGGCGTGATCTACACAGGCAAGACCAAGGTTAACCAAAGTTAAAGCTTCGATACTGCCCGAATTTCTGCCCAAAGGGGGTCAGAAAAATGAAGGTGAAGGGCAGATAAGTGTGTCGGTTTGAGCACAGCTTTGTATATCAGTGTGTTGTTTATACTTTTGTAATATATTGTATGATTTTGTTTTCTGATGAAAAGGAAGGGGACCAAAAGAGAGGTAAAAAGATACGATGAGAATACTTACAAAGAGATTTTTTAGCTCATTTGGTCTACCACTAGCTATACATTCAACCATTGAGGTTTTTACAATTATGCATTTATTTTTAAAACGACTATGTGCTTCGTCTTCTATTTGCATTATTAAAAAGCACTAGTTATTATCATAAACACCATGCTGAATTTTCCCAGCAGTCTCTCCGTCTTGCCAAGGCAGATTCCTAGCTCATTCCCTTCATGAGTGAACAGCATCTACCCCAGGACCTTGCTGAGAAGTTGTCTATCACTTTGCATTTTTTTTTTTTTGGTGATACCTGGCAGTTTACTTGGCTAGACTCTCGTCCACACTTTTCTGTATACACCAGGCACTCTTTCCTGCCATCCACTCTGCGTGGAGGAGGGTCAGCACTATAACCAGCTTCTGTTCCAACACTTCATGTTTTTCCGTGGTCACCGGAGGTTGCCTTCCCTCCTTGCCTTCAGCCCACAGCTGGCAAATGTTGACTGTGTTTCTGTTTGGGACTTTATCCAATATATCTTCAGTTAAGTTAAATTTAGTCCAGGGCTGCCTCTCTAGTACGACATCTCATAATAAACTATTAATAATATTAATATTTTGTGCCCCTACCCCAGAATTTTCAAATAAAGTTGTAATGCTCAGTATCTCGTATTATAACTATATTTTCAGGGACCGTCTTTAAAGAAATGATTTAGTTGAAAGGAAGCCATTAATGTAGCCTCCTCACCCCCTAGACAATAACCAGTGTCCTCATGAGAAGAAAAGGAGACAGGAATGCAGAAGAAATACTGTGTGATGCCACAGGGAAACGATGGCTACCCACCTGTAAGCCGAGGAGGAAAGCCGTAGGAAAAGCAGACCCTGCCTGTCCCCTGATCTCAGACTGCCAAGCTACAGAAGTGCCTTTGTTAAACCACCCTGCCTGTGACAGTTATGTCTTAGACAAGGAATAAACATGCCCTCCCCTTACTTTAAACAAGCTAGCGAATGTTAAAGGTATATTCCTAGGAACATTAAGCAAGTAGTTTTGTATTGCTTTCTGGACCTGCACAGACCCAGAAGCAAAGGGAGGGGGTAGTTGGTAAAGTGTTTACACCCCTAACATTTAGATATTCTATACCCAGAATCTTCATGAAAATGTTATGTGTGGTGGTTCATCCTTATGATCACAGCGCTGTAGAGGCAGCAACAGGAGGACCCCTGAGGCTCTCTGGCCAGTCTAGCCTAATTGGCCAGCTCCAGGTAAATGAGAGAGCCTGTATCAAAGGAGGTGGATAGTATCCTTGATGATGGCACTGGTCATCCTTGGGCCTCCATATGCATGTGCATACACACTTTATCCTCACATGGGTACACACATACATATACATGCATACTGTATGGGGATATTTGTGTTGTTTGAAGATATATTGTGATTGTTTAACAAAGAGCCAAACGGCCAACAGCTAGGCAGGAGGTATAGGCAGGACTTCTGGGCAAAAAGAAGGACTGCGGATGAATCTAGACATTCAGGAGAGACGGCAGGGAGAGGAAATGGGAGGTGCAAAGTGAAAGAGAGGTAGCACCACATGTAAATAGTTAGTTTATGGCATAGTTAAGGCTAGTTAGGAACAAACCTGAGCTATATGCTGAGATTTCATAATTAATAAAAAAGTCTTCATGTCACTATTTGGGAGTTGGTCAGTGGGACAGAAAAAGACTCATTACATCATACAAATTGTGTTCAGTTACTGATTTGGTTTTAGGGTGGAAAATACATTTGCAAGGCTCACTTTTATAACCAAACCATGTCTTCCTTCCACTCACTGCCATGAAGAACCAAAAAATAAAGTCAAAAAGAGCACGTGTTATTAGCAATAAGAATAAGAAAAGCCAGGAATGTTTATTAAAGTGTGTATATGCATGTATGTTTTCCATGGCCTAGCAATCTCAGTTATAGAAATTTACTCTATGTAAATGGATACATGGTTATTTAACAGAAGATACTCATGGCCAAGTTATTTTAAACAAAGTGACAGTTCAGAATTACTTATTCAGATATCCATACAGTGGTCAGATTTGCAAGTTGTATAACCAGCACTCTTACCACCAAAGCATCTTGGCATCATTACAGTGTCCATCCCAAAGTTCAGGGATGATCACATTAGCTGCCGTGCACTAACTGCCTATAACTCTGGGATCCTAACCTAGACACATGCCATCCACATGGGTAATTTCTGATTGGGCCTCCACCTTTCATTGACACCTTGGTTCCTATCTTCTCCTAGGATCCTGGCCCATTTGTTTCCTTTAAATTTACTGAATGCCCAGTGCCCCCACCCCCTTTGTCAAAGAGGAAATTCCCTCTAGAAAACAAGATTTTTTTTTTTTTGCTATGTACTATTAGTCATTGCTTCCAGGAATACAGTCCAATGAATTTTGTCTAATTTTTTTAAAAGTCGTATAGTGGACAACATTAGTTTCTTTTTTAAATGATTTTTGTTAATTATTTCAAATGTATGTGTATGCTTGAATATATGTATGTTCTGTTGGGGTCCAACCTCGACGGGCTCATACGTTCCAGAGTAGGGGCACGTGGATTAGAAATGTTAGGCAGAATAGACAGATACAAAAGAGATACAAAGACATAGGATAAAGTCTGGAGGGCAACTCAGTGAATGCTGAATCTGCCCGTGTTTATTTCTCATGATTTCTAAATAAATACTCCAATCCAAAGGAGGGGAAGAAAGCAAAAGACTTTTTTGTTTGCTTGTTTTTGAGACAGGGTTTCTCTGTGTAGCTTTGATGCTTGCCCTGGAATTCACTTTATAGACCAGGCTGGTCTGGAAATCACACAGATCCACCCACCTCTGCCTTCCAAGTGCTGCGATTAAAGACAAGTGCCACCATCATCCAGCAACAAAAAACATTTTTACCATGATGCAAGGAACAAACAAAGCAATTAACATCTTAATATCCAAAGCACCAAGTAACCACACCCTAGGTCAAGAGATGTTGGATATTTTAAAAGATGGAAATTTTAAAGTGTTTGACATTCTAAAGGCTGTGGAAGTTTCTAGGATGTTTATATTTTATGCTGTGATGATGTGGGATTCCCTTCTGTCTGCTGTGAATATGTTTTATTATCATTTGTTAATAAAGAAACTGCTTTGGCCTATATCAGGGAAAATATAGTCAGGCTGGAAGAGATATATAGAGAAAGTAGGCTGAGTCAGAGAGACACCATGTAGCTGCCAAAGGACACAGATATCAGATCCTTTCTAGTAAGCCACAGCCCATGCCAATACACAGATTAATAGAAATGGGTTAATTCAAGATACAAGAGCTAGAAAGAAATACAACTAAGCTATTGGTCAAATAGTGTTGTAATTAATTCTGTATAACTATTCAGGTCAGAGCAGTTGGGAAATGGACAAATAGTCTCCTTTTACAAATGGCGCCTGAACATTTGGCAATGTACATTCACATAAAACCTAAGAAAGCTTAAAATGAGTGCTTCTAGACCCCCAAAACAGGAGCCAAATGCAGCTTCTTGGTAGCCACATTATTTCCAGAAAGGCCCTGTTTGCTGGCTGAAAGCAGAGATGCAACCCCTTTAAAAAAATGACTTCCTGGTTCATTCTGGCAGGAACAGCTCTGGCTCTTTTGGGGGGTCTGGCTATGGAGCATTTAAATGGAGTTTGTGAGCAGAGTACTACAACTTGCTTAATGGCGACATAGACCTACAGCATCCCTGAATGTGGGCAGTAAGCATGGCTCATAGAGCTGGGGATTAACCTACTTTGGCCAATGTTGGATGAGGTGGAGCCAATTAGTCCTAGCCATGCTTCTTAGCATTTTAAAAAGCATTCCTGGTCAGACAATGATTACAGATACACAAGAAAAACAGATTTAGACAGAAATAAACCTCTGGATGGGTCACAGTGTGTTTAAAAATGTACGGAGGCTTGGAAGAGAGAAGAAAAAGAGTATAGACAGTTATAAAAAAGTTTAAAAAAATAAAAAAAATTTTTTAAAGAGACAGTAGCTGTAGTATAAAAGAGTACAGACAGTCATAGAGTAAAAGAGGACATACCTAAATAGAGAACTCTCAACAGAGGAACCTAAAATCACTGAAAGATACTTAAGGAAATGACCAACATGCTTAGTCATAAGAGAAATGCACATCAAAACAACTCCGAGATTCCATCTTACACCTGTAAGAATGGCTAAGATCAAAAACACTGATGACAGCTTATGCTGGAGAGGTTGTGGGGTAAAGGGAACACTCCTGCATTATTGGTAGGAGTGCAAGCTGGTACAGCCCCTTTAGATATCAGTATAGCAATTTCTCAGAAAATTAGGAAACAATCTTCCTCAAGACCCAGCAATACCACTTTGGGGTATATATCCAAAGGATGCTCAATTGTACCACAAGGATATGTGTTCAACTATGTTCATAGCAGCATTGTTTGTTATAACCGGAACCTGGAAACAACCTAAATGTCCCTCAACTGAAGAATGAATAAGGAAAATGTGGTATATTTACACAGCAGAAAAAATAATGACATCTTGAAATTTGCAGGCAAATGGATGGAGCTAGAAAA